CATGTAACAAGTAGCCATTCTGACTTCCGATGGGTATAAAATGCACCAAGAGATGTTAATGAGAAAATATCCTTATGGAGTCATTCACTCCCATCCACATGCATCCTCAGCATGCAACAGGCGGCAAGAAGAGATGGCATTGTGGTGAGCCAGGCAGCCATATCAGTGGGATTCCGCCACCCCTGCTCAAGCAGGTTTGCATATTGTGGCAGCCCAAGCACTGCTGGCAGGTCATGCACATGACAACCCTCTGGCCAGGGAAAACACGAGGACCACAGAGAGAAGCATGAGCACTGCTCTGAGTCACACCAGTCAGCCTAGTGCATCGAGCTGTGCTTAGAAGGGCTGCCTGAAAAGTCGGTAGGTGACAGGCACTGGAAGAATCGGACATGCTTAGTCTTGAGAGGAGAAGACTGAGGGAGAGTTGATAGCGCTCTTTACTTGAACAGTTGTCACACAGAGGAAGGCTGGGATCTCATCTCAGCCATTCTTGAGTACAGAATAATGGGTACAGATTTCAGGAAGGCAGATTCCAGCTGAGCATCAGGAAAAAGGTACTATTAGAGCCATTCAGCAATGGAACCAATGACCTAGGGAGGTTGTCCGCTTTCCCACACTGGAGCCATTTTTGATGCAGGAAGACTGCACTCCAAGAAGTATCGTTTGCACTGAGCAGGGCTTTGCACTGAGCAAGGGGTTGGACTGATGGCCTGCTTGGCACTTGCCAGCTCTCCCATTCTAGTATGCTGATTCTAGGCTTCCCAGAAGAGGCCGAGTGCTTGGGCGCTAGCAAGGATCCCATGCAGACACTGCACACAGGATACTCTTGCTTCCTGTTGATATGAACAAACCTCCCCAGTTCAGCACTTGTGCTACCACACCACACTAGAGATGGCCAGAAGTTACTTTGATAAGAGTACTGACAGCAAGAACAACATGAAATGCCAGAACAACATGAACTGCCAGGAGGAGGAGGGTATCAGGGGCTGTACTGAATGTAGTTTAACTGAACTACCATTCCTTTAAAGAAAACAAACACGAGATGCCACTCCAAGCCTAGAACCTAACCATAGCAAGAGGAGACTTGCAGTGTGGCCTAGTCACCCAAACACCAATCCAGCAGCTGGGAAGGAATAAATCCATTGCTGCTGGTTCTCCCAACTCCACCGGGCTTTGCACTGGCAGTTTATTGCTGATATCATGTTGTAGCATTGTGTAAAACCAGTGCCATAAATCCTGCATGGCAGCATAACCTGCTGTTTCTTTGTTGTAAGGAATTTAGGAGCAATCTTACCTCCACTTGGTTAGCATAACCTGAGAACAGGCTCAAACCACAAGAGAGCAGTTTGGAAGAAATTATTATTACAGTTGCCTTCAGTTACACAATTATCATCTGGAGCACATGGAACAAAGGCCATAACTATACAATGCATTGTGTGCGGGAACACAAGATGAGAAGATTCCAATCCTGCATTTTTGAGCTGTGGGGGGACTGACAGCTAAAGTCAGAGGAGTGTTTTATGTTATCAATGCATACATTTTATCATATGAATAATCAGAAATCTGGATTTTATTAAAGCAGACAGGTCAATGGGCTCCTTTGTTCTTTCAAAAGAGTATACCACAGATTTTCAGTCAGATGAAATTAAGTAACTATTCTCAGCTCACAGTGAAAGAGGACAGTCATTTTAATCAGCAAATATTATATCGTAAGCCATCTCTGCTAACTGGGTCAGAAACCCCTCTTGGTTGCAACTACTCATGCGAAGAAAGGGAATAGTTTTAAAATGTGCATAAGTATATACAAAAGTGCACTCCTTTGTGCTTTTCCAAACATGTCTTAGGGTTAAGGGGAAGGTGACTTCATCAGTGAAATATTTTTGACTTTACAGCTATTTGGAAAACACATTGCTTTGAAGCAACTATCTTTTCATTTTGTAGACAGGGTTTTCATACTATAGAGAGTGCCAATAAAAATATTTTGAAATTACATCCAGAGAATCACAATATAATTAATTTCTGCCACAAGCTTATGGAATCCAAAAAAAAAAAAAATCCCCAGGTAACTGCATAATAAACAAACAAACAACTCAACAGCTACATGAAACCATGGTCTTGAAGCTCCTGAGGTACTTTTAGGATGCCATCCCATGCTACAAATATTAATTCAGTTTGTACAGTTTGGCACCTGTGGTGGTTCCATCCTCTTCTGTAATTCCATTAGTGGTTCCGTTGGCTCCTCTGAGTCTATGTACTGGACTGAAACTGAAAATTTTCTTTCTTGTCTTGAAAAATGGGCATATAACAGTTCCATTCCCAGTGATGGCTTCATTCTAGAAATTTTATTAAGTCCGAAATGAATGCTGAGCCAAGTACATATGCAAGAAAACAAGACCTCTTTGCCGATAAAAAGCAGCAACGACAATGCTGGAGTCATAGTCTTTGATCTTCAAACAAAAGCCCTGTTGAATTATTACTGTGGCTTTGGAGTGGTGCAGCATTTCCATGTTAAATTCCTGCTTTTGAACATTAAATCCACTGAAATGTTGCTTGAGGTTGACAATGAATGGGAATAGTTTAAGAACCAAAGTCCAGCTAATAAGATGCAGATATTGGCCAATTTTAAATGCACTTTAGGGAGCAATCCTATGGCTCCTAACACTGTCTGAGGGGCCATACGATAGTTCAGGCTCCCAGATCCAGGATCAGAGATGGTTCCCCAGTCTTAGAACTCACCTTCCCATCCTAACGGACAGAAAGAACTGTGCTGGCTGCTCTCCATGGTCAGGAAAGCAACTTCAGAGGGAGAAAGGGGGTTTTCTGCTCTTGGGAGAGGACACTGGAGTGGTCAGGATACAAATTATCCCGATGCCTTTCCAGGCTTCTTGCCATTGGAACTGCTGCAGCTGGACAAGCATGAAACCTGTTTTCCAAATATGCAGGTCAGGAGGACAGGGAGACAAAGATCACCTCTGCTGCTCCATAAGCTAACCCTAAAGCACCAGGTTCTGGGGCTGATGAGTATCATGACAGGATTAGGCATTCAAGAGGCAGCAGGACAGCCATCTGAGAGGGATGGTTTAATTTGGAGTCCTGCATTGAGCAGGTGGTTGCACCCAATGGCCCTCCAGCCCCTTCCAACTGAATGATTCTATGACTGCCCCCTAAAACACATCATGTAGGATCATGAATGGATGTACTCAAGAGTAAACTTCCAAATCACACAGAACTGTAGTCTGAATGTACATCCTGGGACACGATAATAGCATTGACTCAGTGCACCAATCCAGAACAGAAGAACTCACCTTCCAGTCACCAAAACTGAGGAAACATGGCAGTGGTAGAATAAAACATCTGAATGACTGCCACTTGCCCACCCCTGCCTACCCAATCCATCAATGACCAGCTTTATCATGAACATCCTTTTTCTTTAGCCCCTTCTGAAGTCTTTTTGCTTCCTCACTACACCACTGGAACACCCAGGAATAGTACAATAGAAGCCTACGGTCTGTCCAGCCCCCCTGAGGTCAATGTGCTTCAGTATGTCTAAACTACAAAGACTATGGTTGATTCTCTTTTAAATGTACAGCTTCTCCATACGTGTTATTCAGAAGTAAATCCTATTGTGTCCAGCAGGACTATCCCCAGGTAAGACTGCAATCCTACCTGGCCTTTATGCTTCTCTGGAACTCAGCCCATTTGAACTTCATGACATTTAGCAGTAGGATTGTGTTCTAATGTCATTTGCTTGCAGAACTTCCAGACAAGATTTTCATTGTGAATTGTCCTGCTTGCCTCATTCACAGGATTTTACAGGGAGTTCAGATGTATTCGTTATTTTCCACCACTTCTTTCAAATATTTGTTTTTGTTTCTAATTGATACCATTAGGAACTGTACATCCAGAAGGTCCCTAAATCCTGGTCCATGGGGAGAATCCTTTCCCCTCCTGGGTTCCCCACTCTGTGCACGAATCCCACCTGAAGGGAGGAAAATCCTTTGCTTATTTACTTTTTACAAGGAGGCCATGAAATTTAAGGAAAGGTATTTTAAAAATGAATGTATGCTCTAGCCAAAGGAGGTTTTACAGTTTGAAGTGTAGATGTGGGAATATGCAAAATCTGCACTAAGCACATACTAACTTCTTGATCTGAATGAGACCTATGCTCCATCAATAAATTTTGGTTTGCTTTTGAGTGTTCCTGCACAACTTTTCTTAGAAAGGGAAGTTTGCCCATGAGTTCAAGGGAGCCTGTTTAGGTAAATGAAGTTGTTTGACCTGTCCAAATAGTCACTTTCTGTGCATCTTACAGGAGAAGGGATTGTCCGAAGAGCCTCAGCTCTGGTGAGGGGAAGGAGTGGAGCAGAGTGCTTGAGCCTACAAATTCTTCTGATTGCGCCTCCTATGTCCCTTGATCTGCAGGATCTCTGAATAATGTTTTTATTGAACAAATTGTGTGCCATAATTTGAGGTGAGTTACTTTTGGAAAATATTCCTGTTTAATATTGTACTATTGTCTATATGATTTTATTTTTCTTGTTACTTTATTGCTATTCTTTGTTTTCAATGCTTCCATTTTGATGGCGTGTTTTTGATCGACTGTATTACGACTTTACCGAGGTATTTGCCACTTGTGGTGTGCAAGTTAAACAAAGTTGAAGGAGGGAACTTTGGTGACGGCTGGAGCCGCTTTGGGAACCCATCGTGCTCGGGGGCCGGGGGGGCTGAAAGGCGGCCTTTCCATATGGGGTTCTACCAAGACGGCCGATGTTCCACGTGGCCCCGCAGGAGCCTCCAGGGCCCCCACAGTCCGAAGGCGTCCGTCCCAGAGCCGGGCGAGGAGAGCCGGGCGGGGCGGGGCGGGGCGGGGCGAGGAAAGATGGGGCGGGGCGGTCCCGCGGAGGGGCGGCGCCTGCCCTGCCGCCGCGGAGCTCGATCCCGGCGGAGAAGCATGGTGCGAGCGAGGGGCGCGCGGCGCAGCGAGGCGGCGGCCGGCCAGCATGGAGCCGTCTGACGCCTGCGATCCCTACCGGCGGCCGGCCCGGCGGACGCAGTGGCTGGTCAGCGCCCTGGCGTACCACTACGGGCTGGACCGGGGCGTGGAGAACGAGATCGTCGTGCTGGCCACAGGCTTGGACCAGTACCTGCAGGAGGTCTTCCACCACCTGGACTGCGAGGGCGGCGGCACGATCCCCGGGCAGGACTTCCGGACGCTCTGCCGGGTGCTGGGGCTGCAGGAGGGCGGCGAGGAGGCGGCCGCCGAGCCCGAGGAGCTGGCCGGCCTCTGCCGGGACCTCTCGCCCGCGCTCTCCTTCCGCCAGTTCCACGCGCGGCTCTGCGGCTACTTCAGCACCAAGGCCGGCTGCTCGGCGGCGCCGGCGGGGCTGGCCCGCCTGCCGCTGGGCAAGGAGAGCGAGCACATCGAGACGCAGATCCGCCTGCGCAGCCCGCTGCGCCGCCGGCGCGAGAAGCGGGCGGGCGGCGGCGCGGCCCCGCGAGCGGGCTCCCCCGCGGGCTGCCGCCGGCCGCTGGGCGCGTGCTCCCGGGAGTGCTACGAGGAGGTCGTGGCGCTGGAGCAGGCGGAGGACCGCGTCGCCAAGCTGGAGGACGAGAACGCCAGCCTGCGCGAGCTGGTGGAGGACATGCGGGCGGCCCTGCAGAGCAGCGACGCGCGCTGCCTGGCGCTGCAGGTGAGCGTCCGGGCTGCAGCGGGGAGGGCGCCCCCGAGCATGTCCAGAGGGCCTTCGCTCCACGCCCCCTCTGGGGCCGGCCGCGCAGGGGAGCCCCCCCGCCTCCCGGCTTTGCACGCTAGAAGTGAGGCACTGCTCCGGTGGGAGGTCTCTCTCATCAGCGCTTGAAGGACAGGCGGCTTGCTGTGTCCTCCAGATTGTTGGGCAACAGGCTTGGCCATGCTGCCTGGAGCCGGTGGGGGTTTAGTCCGGACCGTGCGAAGGGCAGCCGCTTCTTTTCCTTGGCTTGAGGGAGTTGCCACCGGAGTGTATAAAGCCACGTGCAGTGGTGGGCTGTACTTCTTCGGAAGGAGAAGTGCCCACGCGGCTGCCTGGCTTATGTGCGCTGCAAGATGAAGCAAAAAGCAAATTGCAAAAGGGCAGCGGGTCTGTGCTTTGACTTTAAGTGTCCCTGTGTGCAGGTGAAGAGCTTGCCTTTGCACCTTTGCATGAGTGCAGCTGTGATACCGGGATGCTCTGAGATACCTGGCTATGGCATATTGAGAGAATATGGGCAGCCTGTTTGAGAAAGAAATCAAGTGTCTCAAGTTCACCACTGCCTAGAAGAGCAGGCATCACTCAGATAATGGGACCTTTAGAGGATGGGCAACTTGGGACAGTTTATCATATGTGAAATTGAAAGATGACTGAAGCTAGTCTTGCATGTGTTGGGAAGCTGTTGTCCTCCACCCCACCTAGAATCAGAACAAACAAGTGGTTACTTTAGTTTCTGCCCCGCCTGAAGGCCTCTTATGCATGTTGTGGAGAAAGTGGAGAGGGAGATAATATTGGAACTCAGGGTTGCCCCATGCAGCTGATTGGTGGGAGGTTTAGGATGGATAAAAGGAAATACTTCTTCACACAACATGTGGTTAAACTATGGAATTTGCTGTCATGGGAAGTGGTGATGGTCACCAATTTGGGTGGCTTTAAAAGGGGATTGGACGGATTCATGGAAAAGAAGGCTACCAGTGGTTACTAGTCTTCCGGCTATGTGCTACCTCCATTATCAAAGGTGGCATTCCTGTGTACACCAGTTACTGAAGACTTTGGGCAGGTGGAGGTCTTGCACCCATCCTACTTGAGGGATCCTGTGGACAGCTGGCTCGCCACTGTGTGAACAGTGCTGGATTTAATGGGCCATGGGTGCGATCCAGCAGTACTTTTCTATGTTCTTGGTTAACTTTGGCAAAAGGACTTCAGGTATGTGACTGAACAGTCCAGGCCTTTCTTTTGAAACTTCAGAGATGTGTTTGGTGGGTGACTCAAGAGAGGGACTTTTGGTGGCCAAACCCAGAGCATGGAACTCCCTCCCATGGAAGACTAGGTTTGCTGCTTCTCTGCTGTCCTGTCAAGAGGCAGAGTGCTTTATTTAAGATGACCTTTGCCTGTAAGGAGGCCTGATGGATTAAGTGCTATTTATTTTACTGTATTTTATTGTTTTAATCATTTCTGTAACTTGCCTTAATTCCATAGAAAGGCACAGTAAAAATCAAATAACCCCTTCATGCAATGCTTGCAAGTAAATTCCTAAGTAGTTAAAGGAGAGGCTTGGGACTGAGCATTGTGAAATAAGTTGGATTTAATTACAGGAATCCATTTACAGATGTCCTCCTACCAGAGCTGTCTGGGATATAGGAATTGTAGTCTGGCACTGGGGAGGGCACCACATTGAGGAAGGTTACTTTAGGGTCTGATGTGAATCCTGATGTTTCGCAAACTAAAGTACAGTCTAAACTAAGTTAGGTACATTTGAATCTGAAAATCTAAGCTTATTGAATAAGCCTCACTGGCCACAGAAGACTTCTGAGTGGACCACATAGCACTGGACCACATGGTTCATTGATTAGGATGACCAATTCTAATTATGTATTTACCTTTTGATAAAACCAAAAGTGTGTGACTGATTTATCACTAGGACTCACATTCAAGTCAAGACAAATAAGGTCAATATGGCAAAAACATAGGAAGAATACAAACTTTCATACCAAAATAGAATATGTTGCAAAATATTTTGAAATACGTTTTCAGGGGTTTCCTGGTTGTATAGCTCTCATAGTCATTTTTAGAGGCAGTCCTATAGCCATTTACATGGCTGTACATCTTCTTAGCCAGATTAGCTGGCACATTCTTTAGTGTTAAGGTGTTGTAACCTCTTGACATTATTGTTATGAGATAATTGTCCTCTTAACTCAGGTTATCACGTGCTGAAATCTATGTTCATGGGAGCTTTTGTATGTGTAGGTCCATTCAGTGTTGCATCCAGTGAGGTCCTTTCACTACCACTACCAGAAGGGAACTGCTGATGGAGTCAATCTTCTCTTTCCTCTGCAGCCTCTTGTCCCCTCTTCCTCTGGAGGGTTGGGAGACTTTACAGCAGAAAACAAGGAATGTGAGCAAGTAAGAGGAGAGCCAGTGTGGTGCGGTGGTTAAGAGCCTGGGACTGGGACTCAGACGACCTGGGCTCTAGTCCCCGCTCAGCCATGGAGCCAACGGGGTGACTTTGGGCCAGTCACAGACTCTCAGCCCAGCCTATCTTACAGGGTTGTTGTTGTGGGGATAAGATGGAGGAGGAGAATGAAGTAAGCTGCCTTGAGCCCTTTGTAGGAAAAAGGCAGGCTACAAATCGATAAATAAATAAATAAATGTTGTATGAGCAGACTTCCAATTGTATCTAATCCCCAGAAGTTGTATTGTGTGCTTAAGGGAGTGTTGTTTTTGATACCTGTCATAAAGTTGTCTCCAACTTGTGGGGACCCTATACATGAAAGCCCTCCAAAATGTCAGTTCTTGGAAACTCAAGGCCATGGCCTCCTTTATCGGTTCAGCCCGTCTCATATTTGGTCTTCCCTTTCACCTTCTGCCTTCAACTTTCCCTAACACGATCGTCTTCTCCAGTGTGCCTTTCCTTCTCGTGATGCGTCCAAAGTATGCCAGCCTCAGTTTTGTCATTTTTACTTTCACGGCAAGTGGTGGTTTGATTTGATCTAGGACCCCTTGTTTGTCTTTCTGTCAGTCCAGAGTATTTGCAAAGCCCTCCTCCAGCACCATGCCTGTAACCCCTCCTAAAAGCGGACCATCTGGTACTTATGCTCCTGTTTTTCTTTCAGATTGAATCAGACCTATTTCAGAAACTCTTTGGAGCTGTTGGGTCAACTTCGCATATGCTGCTTTTAAAACTAGGTATTGTGGTGTTGGGCTTATGCCACATGGCTTGGCTCTGGGGCTTCACTCCTTGTGTGGTGCAACCATTCTTGTGCATTAGTCACATGTGAACCAATGGACTGTTACATGTGATTTATTTTTCATTTAATGAACACTTCACTCCTCCCAGTTTTGTTATTGTTGTACAGTGTTTTGAGTGCTGTGACAGATTATGTCTGCCTGTATTGGTCATCTGAGGCACTCTTCCTGGTGCTTCCTCTGAGGAAGGCAACAAGAAGGGAGAGGGCCCTCTCAGGACTGACCCCCAATTATAGAATGATCTCCTTAGGAAAAAAAAGAATTTTTAAACAAACCACTATAGCAAAGACCAATACAGGCAGCCCTGTTGTGTCTGAATGTTTATGTATATTTGCGGAATTGTGGAGTTCGCTGCCCAGAGAGGTTTGCCTGGCACCGTCGCTTTATGCTTTCCAGCACCAGGCCAAAACTTTTTTATTTTTCTAATGTTTTAAGACCTGGTAATTGGGGTTTTATTAAATGATTTTTTAGGAACCTGTGTTTTATTTTACATTTTATATTGTTAAACTGTCCTGAGACTTCGGTAATGGATGATCTAGAAAAGTTTTAAATAAATAATAATAAATATTTGCTTGAAAGCTAAGGAAAACACTGCTTCAAAATGGTGAAAAGGCTGTAATCGTTCTACACTGCCACATTTGACACAGCAAGGCTTAGGATCAGGCTCTTGCCACTGAGAGTTTTTGAGCTCCTAGGAGGTCACCACATCATGTATTGTTAATACTTATGCTGCCTTTATGAGAGTCAAACATGCACATGCGTGTCAGATACACATGCATGGCCTGGTATGCCTCAAATTTTATAGCGTTTCCAATATGAGTATTCCTGCACATGGTGGCATATGTATAAATCACTGAGGAGCTGATATGTACAGATACTATATGCTGTCCCATAATCTCTGACCACTACCTCTGCAGGCTGTGGTTGATGGGATTTGTAGTCCACCAGCATTTGGAGAGCCACAGTTTCATTATTCTGCTGTTACATATGGGTAGCATGTAGCTCACTGGCTGGTGTGTTTTGGATGTTGTCATGAAGCCATCCTAATTTACTAGCTTCCAGAGTGTGTACTGAAAGGAAGAGCGAATATTACTCAAGTACAGTGGTAATATTGGCTCATGAACTTAATCCATTCCAGGACTCTGGTCTTGACCCAAATTGGTTGTGAGCCAAGTTAAATTTCCCCATAAGGTTCAATGTAAGTAAGGTTAATCCATTCTGTAACTATTTCTTAAATCAGAAAAATGTAAAGCAAAGTGACAAAGAACAAAGATTGCGGCCATCTCCCCCCTCACCCTGAGCATGAGCACGGCCATCTCCCCCCCCCCCCCGGCACGACTGCAATCGCACCCCTCATCCCTCCATGTGCCCGTCATCCTGGCACTCCTGGGGGTGGGGGGAGACGGGCGTGAAAGCAGGCGTGCTAGGGGAGACGGGCGTGAACGCAGGCGTGCTAGGGGAGACGGGCGTGAACGCAGGCACACTCGTGCAGGAAAGACGGGCATGATCTCGGCCATCTCCCCACTCAGCCATCTCTGCACTCCCCACTCACGGTCTCCACCCAATGCAGAGTTCGTGACCTGAGTCAAATTTTTTATGAAATCTTTGTTCGCGGCCTGATTTGGTCGTGAACTGAAGCGTTTGTGAGCCAAGGTAACACTGTATTCATTTTCATGTAAGGAAATATAATGTGAAATAATCCAGAAAGAGGATTTGTACATAGCTGTCTGTTTAAGTTAGCTACTGGGTACTGGCTCACAGTTATCTTAAAAAAAAAACACTATTGACTGAAAGAGCATTAAGAACAAATCCACTTGATTAAAGCATTGATTGCTCCTTTCCCCCCCTTCCCCTGTTGACTGTAGGTGGGACTGTGGAAGAGCCATGCTAATCATAAGAAAAGTGGGACCTGTTTTTTAAGCAACCGGAGTCCATTAACAAACAAGCAGTCGCAGACTTCTAAGTGCCTTGAAAGCGTTTTAAAGGAAGTTGAACTAATCCGGAGTTCTAGGGATGGACAAATTGAAGAAGCAATTAGGTTTAATCAAGAACTGGAAAAAGAACTGAGGAATTCCCATGAAGCATTAGTCACTGTGAAAGACTACAACTGCAGCCTGAAGAGGGAGCAGGCAGAAATGAGGAAGAAGGTCGAAGAAGCAAGACTTGCTGTCCTCAATAGCCTCGGAAAAGTAAAGGAACTAGAGGCAAAAGCCCACAAAGTGCCACAATTGCTAATATATATCCAGCAGCTCGAATCAGAGCTGCAATATTATAGGTAAGTCTGAAATTGCTGGAGTAAATAAATACTAGATTTGGCATGTAAATGTGGTTTGCAAACCAAGTTGTAAATGTCTTTTGAAATGTGGTGGGTAGAGAATTAGTCTCTACTTAGTTATTTTCTTAGTAGGGACTCCCTGAAAAGCTTTACTTATCTCCCTCCTAGTTAATGCCACAGCAAACATGATTTACTGGAAACAGCAGAGACCATCAAAGAAAAGCCTAACATGCCATTGACAAAAACCCAGCAGATGTTAACAATCTAATTTAGGAGGCATTATTAATGGTATTGTGGGAGTTGATGTTTAGAAAGGATAACATGTAATCTAATGGGAGAGGCCATTAAAAAAAAACAGCTGCTTATCATTAAGGGTATTGGTTACATATGTTGCATTTTAGCTTTAAATTAATATTTGCACAGCACCATCCACTGGGATTTCTCTTGCTTTGGCATCATATAACTTCTCTTGAGGCTGTTCTGCAAAGCATTTCAGGCTATGGCTGAACAGCTTCTGCCCATAAGGACCAAAATCATCACTCTATCACCTCTTTGGCTTTAGCTTTGCCTGCAGCTGCTTTGTAGGGCCATCTTCTAAAGTGGGCCGGTGAATTTAATGGGAAATGATAATGGGATTGCTGCATTCATTAAACATCTAAAAAAATATGCAAAGCATCTTACAGGGGCTGAATGATTACTTAACACTTAATCAGGTGGGCACCCCCTGCTGGAATCTTGGTGAGCAGCAGCGTGCAGGGAACAGCCCACCTTGAGCAGACCCCCTAAGCATGTTGCTCATCCCCAGCTCCCTGCCATCCACCCCTTGAACAACAGTGGCAACAAATCACCTCGGAGACCAGGGACCATGAATGCTCTGAAAGACTGGGCTGCCATCACCCAAGCTGGATGTTGTGAAGCAGCTGCCTGGAGCTCGAAACGGATCCAGAGACTCCTGGGCCCTTGGGGTGAAGCAGCCATGGTCTGTACCCCTCATGGTGGAGCCAGCTTCTGCAGGAGTCCGAGGCCGAGCAGCCACTGTGCCCCAGGGAGTGCAAGCCAGCCGACCAACACAGAAGTGCCTGACTGAGAAATGTGAGCTCCTTGTGAGTAAAGGGAGTCTTGAGTAAAGGTAACTCTGCTCACAAGTAGGCCATTCCTCAGGTGGCACAGATGGCCTGCAATTGAGTTCTGAGGCGCTGGTTTCTGTTCTGTTAAAGGTTTCTGTTCTAAGGTTTGTGCCCTGCTTCCTTTCTTCTGTTTGCCAGATATCCTCACTCCTCTGGAAATCCTGCATTTGAACCATTTACTGACCTCTTATCTTTCAGGGAAATGATACTTGCATTATTTTGTGGCAGTGGAGTGTACAGGATGGAACAATAAGCCCCAAAACAGCTGATAGGAAGAGGCTGGGAGCATCACTGGCAGCCAGTGAGACTTCAGAGTGAACAGCCTCTTCCCTCAGCGAAGAAACAAGGCAGCAGGAAGTGCAGGGCTGGCGAATCAGGCCCTTCAGATTCCCTGAATCCACAAAACAGCAAGGCTTTTCAAGAGTTTGATAGGAATGCCTGAAGGACCAGTGTCTCTTTGTAGATGGCATCTACTCTGTACCCATGAACCCTCACTCAAGAAGTTTGTGGAGTCTTTTCACAATGTTGTCATCTCCAGAGCTTTCCCTGTTTTCCTGCCCTTTTCATTTAGGGTTTTTAGTTATTTTTAGCACGAGGAAAGTCTGGTATTAAATTTTAAACTGAACAAAAGCCTTATCAGAGGTAACAGATCTGCTGTAGTTCAGCTATGCCACAGCGCTGCCTTCTTGTGGGTATGTATTAAAATATATGGAAAGGCCAAGAAATAGAATCCTGGGGAGGCATGAGTGGAATTTGTAAGGAAAACATTTTTCCTCCTACAGTGAAAATGAAAGACGAAGCCTCAGTAAGGCAGTGGGGTAAAGCCCTCATGTGGGGAAGCTTTAGATAGATTTCATAGGTTGAATATCGGGCTGCTTGCCCATCCCTTTTTAAGGAGAAATACACAATTAGAAACTATTCTAAAATAGGTATTTGGGTTAAGTAAGCAGCATGATAACATGCAATAAAGCCATTGAAATAGTCATGGAAAACACAAATAGCAGTAACAATAGGATCATAGTAAGATCTTTAAAAAACCTACAAACATTCTTTTGGCACTGTAAAGACTAAGGCATTTATTTTGGCATACAATTTGAGACAATAGCCCACTTCTGTTAGTCTTTAAGGTGTCACAGGACTCTTCATGTTTGATCAGGAAAAATGTTAGGGGAAAGCATGGCTGACTGAGGAATGCTGAAAGGTCTCTTCTGTCTCTAACCATGCAGAAGATTGTGCCCGGGCAGTGTGGCTTTTTGGCTGCTAGGCAGCCTCCAGGCAGCCGGAGGATGATGATTTAGGGTCCCAGGCCTGATACGGAAATGTGCTGTGATGTTGGAGCTGGGAGCCTGAGCATGCCACGGGTTGTGTGGGCATTCAGGGGCAGGGAGGGAGAAGAGTGGTGAGCTTATGATACTGAGTGACCTGGCAGCACCAGTCTCCGTCCCTCCTTTTCTGAAGCGCTGGAGCTAGGCTGTCCAGCTGGTTGCAGTGAGGGGGCGGGCACAGCGGCAACCTCACTCCTCTGAGTTCGGAGGGTCACGGGCATCCAAAATGAACTGTACCCTTCATTTTTTTTTTTTTTTTTTTTTTTTGCAACAGTAGACTAACATGGCTACTCCTGTGGAATTGAAGGGGAAAAATCCCACCATTTGGAGATTGAAGCAGGTTTCCAGCTGGAAATGGCACTTACAATGAATTAGTTTTAACTGTGACAACATTGGTCTAGCCATATCTGCAGGGCCAGGATGTTTTTCAGGTTTGAAATGCAGGTTTGGCACAACTATCAGCCTTCTATGTATGGCCTTCCCTTTGTGAGCCAAATTCCTGTCAGTGTTGTTTCATTACATTCTCTGGGTTAAATTCAATGCATAGTTAACCACTGGCAGGCAAATTACTCCACAGATTGCAGTGGGAGAAGCACACATGAATATGTAGGGAAATCGTGCCTCACATTCAGTAGTAGAAAGAAGGTACTGAGTTGTTTAATACATCCCTGTCTAATAAGCTCATTGTATTATATGGGTAAAACAGGTGTGGACTCTTCAAAATTAAGCATGGGGATGGCAATAGCTCATATTATTATGGACATGGTGCACTTGACTTTCACATGAATGTAAAAGCTATACTGACGGTGAATGGTGCTGATTCCATATTCAGTAGCCACTAAGTAGGCTTTTGCTCAAGATGGGGAAATTCAGAAACCAGAGTCAGAATTATGATTAAAGCAATTGCCTCAGCAGCTTTGCAGTTTTTAATATATTTGGGAGCTCACTTTACTGTGTTTTCTTCATAAGGGGAACAATTAAAGCATTAATTTGAATGGGGTACATTAGGGCAAGCGTGTAACCAAGCACGTGCCCTGAAATATCATATGGCCCCCGTTGTGGAGAAGATTCAAAGCATTGTAAAGACTGCAGCTTAAAATCTTTAGCCCGCATCTGAACTAGCTCAGCTGTCTGGAGTGTGCAGAGTGCTTTAGCATGCAATATAAATGCTGGGTGTTGGTATTGTCATTTTTATTGTTGTTCTTAGTACTCCCTCCCTACTATGATGTTCAAAAGCAGCATTGTAAAAGCTTTCCGTAACTAAAATACTCATTTCCCTCTGTAGTGTGCTCTTTCCTCTCAGCAGGCTTATAAGATTTCTGACTGAGCTATTTGTAGTGCTAAAGCTATTGCATCCTGTCTTTGAGGTAGGAGAAAGAGCCAAAAATAGTAATGGCCTATTACTAGTAATGTATCCAGTGCCATTTTTGTACCCATTGTATATGTTTTCAGCTAAGTGCCTGCAAAAATAAAACTGCCCATTAAGTGTGAGGGGGGTGGTGTTGACGCTTCCATAGAAGTTGTTGTCCTTGGCATATGGATTCTTGTAACTTACATCCCAGTTCAAAGTAGATTTTCTGAACATAGTTTATTCATTTTAGTGGGACTTAATTCCTTACTGCAGTTAGAACTGGAGCCTTATACTGGTTTTGCCAAGGGGTGTTGACCAAGAAGAACTGCCTTTTCTGTGAAAGGAAGACTTATAAGCAAGTATCCACTGGCCTTGGTATTCCAGGATCAAGTTCAGTCTTAGAATATTGCCTGCCACATTGTTTTTCCACAATTTAATGGTGCATGAAGCTCATCTTAAATGGGAGATTAACTTAGTTAAAGATCAATGGGAAAGATCAAGTCCTGAGCTTGTCCAAGGAGGAATTTTGAGAAGTACAACAGCTTGGCAGTCTTGTGTGTTTTTACTCACACAGTATCTGAGTAAAGACATTCCCTGTAATGAGGCCTCAGTATCTCAGGCTTCTTATGCTTAGAAGAAAAAAAATGTAAATGCATTGGGAAATTTAAAATATGGCCTTTAATGCCAGTTTCCATATAGACCTGAGAAATCTGCCGTTCTTTTTAAAGAGTGTAAGGACATAATTCTGTGGCTGCTAGATGGCTATAACAGAATTCAACTTCCCTACTCTGGCCTCAGAATTGTGCTTCAGGGTTAAAGCTGGAACTCCAAACTCAGATGTTTCTTCCCCAGTGCTAATGGAATAGGAAGAACACTGCAGGAGGCAGCTCTGAGGTCAGAGATGGAGTTTTGTGGAAGTTCCAGAGGATGGGGAGGAGAGGAGACAGATGCCATATCCTGGCAGAGTCTGCGCTTTCACTTTTCATGAAATCCACCTTTTGAATGTTTGGGGGCCAAGGGGAACACCTCACTCTACACTCCTTCTGCCCTCCATAGGATGCCTATAGAATTCATGGCAGTCACAGTGGGTTGTATGGTAAGTTTCTAGCCTTTGTTAATTGTAGAATTTTGTCAAAAGGTTGTAAGAAGCTGACAGAAGCTATTTCTATCTCTGTGTGGAATTAGTGTAGGCTAGAG